AATGTATGGTCTAGTAGGCTGAACAACAGCAAGGCCAGAAACACGGCAGAGTAAAAAGTAAAAGGCTACGTGGTGAGGAAGACCTGGGTTCTGGCTCTGCTATTTAATAATTGTCTACCCTTGGACAAGTTACTCACCTTCCTGGTACACAGTAGAAGGCTCTAATTTGTTTTTGCAAACTCTGGATTGAACCCTTCAGAAAAGGGTTTAAGGAGACAATGCTTGGAAGGCCTCTGGCCTCTGCTTCTTTTCTTCTCCCTGGGTTATGAGGATGAAGAGCCTTGCTGATGCATAAATGGCTGTGGATGTGATGCTAAGGAAGGCTGATCCTGACTTCTAGCCTTCTACTCAGAAATCTCCTTCATTCCCCACAAACTATCTTATCATTACATCCTTTATATCCACTTACAGTACCCTCTACTTCTTCATAGGATTTATCTCAGGTCTGATTCATCAACTAATTGTACACACAACGCTTCTCTTCTCTACTGGTATTTAAGTTACCCCAGTAAGTTATTTGTAGACTGAACGGAACACCTGTTAAGATCTGTCAATGAGTCTTCAATGTGTGATGCGGACCACTGGTGAAATGAGAGATGATTTCAGTGGGTAAACATAGGCTACGTTTCTTAATAATTTCAATTGTTACGTATTTATTCTAATGTGTATTTGGCAAATAAATAGCTGGCTCACCAAATCTGTGACTTTACATACAGTCATGAGGTAGTGATGCCGTAGTCATCTTAACATCACTGCGCCCCTCAGGTGTTTGTGGTGGTGGTGCTGGTGTAGACAAACCCACTGTGCTGCGAGCCATGTCAACGTGTAGCACATACAACTATGTACAGTACATAATGGTTGATAACAGTTATTAACAACTATGTTACTGGCGCACGTTCTAGAGTACACTACTTTTTATTGGAGGTTCCAGCCGTGGGCACTGTTATCAGGAGAGGCAGCAGTTCTGTGCATGTTCTGTGCGGGACAAGACGTGGTGATCAGGCAGATAGTGGTACTGAGAATCCTAACCCAGTATAGGCCTAAGCGCCTCTGTGTCTTAGTGTATGACAAAAAAATTTTAAAAGTTAAAACAAAAAATAAAAACTCAAAAATAGAAAAAACTTAAGCCAGGCCTGGTGGGCACACACCTGTAGTCCCAGCTGTCAGAAGCCTAAAGTGGGAGGATCACTTGAGCCCACAAGGTTGAGGGTACCCTGGGCAACGTAGTATAATCCTGTCTCTAAAAAAACTTAAATAAATAAATAAAAGTAAATTTTACAAAAGCTTAAGGATATAAAGAAAGAAAATAGCTTTGTACAGACGTGCAACGTGTTAGTGTTCTGTGCTTATAAAAGTCACAAAGTTAAAAAAATAAATAGCTGATAGAATAAAAAACTTACAGTAAGTTAAGGTTAATTTACTCTTAAAGAAAGAAAATCCTTTTTACTAAGTTTACTGTAGCCTAAGTGTCCAGTGTTTACAAAGTCTACAGTGGTGCACAGTAACGTCCTAGGCCTTCTCATTCACTCCTCACTCAGTGACTCACCCAGAGCAACTTCCGGCATGCTCCATTCATGGGTAGCGCCCTAGGCCGGGGTTCCACTTTTATCTCTTATGCTGTATTTTTACAGTACCCCTTCTGTTTAAATACACAAATACTTACCATTGTATTTGTGTATCTACAATTGCCTGCAGTATTCAGTACAGTAACATGGCTATACAGGTTTGTAGTCTGGGAACAATCAGCTATACAACATAGCTTAGGTGTGTAATGGCTATATCATTTAGTTTTTTTGTAAGTAAGTATACTCTATTGTAATATTCACACAAGGATGACATTGCCTAACCATTCATTTCTTGGAACATACCTCAGTCATTAAGCAATGCATGACTGTATTTTTGTTATGAATGGGGCTAAATAAGAAGTAAACTGATACAAGCTAATTAAAAAAACTAAGTAAACAACAGTACCATTGTCATAGAATATGGCAAAAACAAGGAAGGTGATAAATAAAAGGATAAAATTTTGTAATTACTGCCTTAGCATCTGGTAGGTCCCCAGAGTAGACACATGCTGAAATTTCCTGATTTAGGATCAGCCTAAATTAGTAAGAAGGAAGTCTGTTTTCAGAATCTGTCGATTGTGAATTCTCAACTGGGTCAATACTGAATTAGGAGTCAAGTCAGAACCAGAGCAAGCAGAGGACTGAACCCTAGAACCCATCTCACATAAGAAGCATGCCATGTTCAGGTATGTGGGTGGTATTGTAGCACACGGCAAACATGAACTGAATAGGAACAAGGGTCAGATCCCATGGCCACAATCAAGATCTAGCCAAGCCAGTAGGAACCACCCAGGAGACAGGGCCCCTCCCCCAGGAAGGATGTGTGACTGGCCTGGATTCACTCCCCTTCAGCCACTCAGTTTCTGATATTGCTTCTTCCCCTAAGAAATCATTTCTCAGCTTACTACCTTTGTGCATGGCTCCAGGAGAAGAGGTCCTTTCTTACATGCACATCTGAAGCACCAATGATCTCTACCTAATGTTTCACTTCCCCTGCAAAATGAAGCAGACTGCTGCCACATCATCAAAGGAGCCTTTCCCTGAGCCTCCAACATTTGAGTCCCACTTCCCAGCTCCTATGCTGGGATGAAAAGGGGGGAACTCCTGTCATCTTAGATTACAACACAGAATAATTTTCCCATAGAAAAAAGGTTTTTAGAAATTAGCACAACTGATGTGTCATATATATTCCAAGTTACGAAGGATTCTGCAAGCTAGGCTGGGAACCTGATTACCAATTACACTATCACCTCAGTGGAAAATGTTTTCAATGTTTTAGAAAAAAATTTTGGCTTATATAATTGTTCCAGAGGTAGGGGCTGCCAATACTTCAGAACACAGCAAATTCCTTAGTAGTAAATGCTTAATTCGACATATCTTTTATCTTTCTTTTTAACATCTTAAAAAAATATTGCATCATCAATCATGGCCAGTATTTTAAGTAACTGTTGACAAATAACCCTCCCCTATACCAAAAGGACTCCATCTTCATATCTGACGACAATTCTAGATACATAAATGTTATTCCAGTAAGCACTTCTCTAATTAGCTCTTAGCTGCACTAAATTATTTCTGGGATGAGCCAGAATGATTGTCCTAACGCCTGGCCTGTACTACTGACAGTAAGTTAGTCTCAATTCTAATCCTGTATCTTTAACCTGGTGTTTTCCACACTCGCTAGATGAAAAGAATTACCTAAGGCACTTCTAAAAGCATGATTCTCTGGCCCCAGCCCAGTAATGAATCAGAATCTTCAGGGAGAGGCCTAGGAGCCGTACTTTTGAAGAATGCCCACCCCCGGTGACACCTCATGGCCTGAAGGCTGTATTAGGATCGTGTGGAGGACTTTTAAACACAGGTTGCTGGATCTGAGCCCAAGAGTTTTTGATCCAGTGGGTGTCGATGGGACCTGGGAGTCTGCATTTGCAGCAAGGTCCTGGGTGATGCCGATGTTCCTGGTCCAGGGACCACACTTTTAAAATCACTTATTTAGCCTGTTTGGCAAACACTACAGCTGAATTCAGTATTATTCTTTTCTCTCCTTTCCTTGGTCAAAAAACAACACTGGGTTAGAACTCATAAGATTTCCTTTGGATTCACATCCTTGATAACTTTTTAGTCACCAGATGACAAACTTACCACTCCACTGAATCTTAATGATGATGATCTCTACCCAGTGTGGAATCTCTACACCTCAGTTTCCACTTACTGTGAGGGTTAAAAAAAGTAGCATAAGGGAAGAGGTGTAAAGAGGTGAGTGCTAAACTTGGCACACAATAGGCTGCATGAAACATCATCTGTTTGCTCTGATCTCCTCACCATGATACCATCTTATGAGCTGCCCATGAATTTGTTGAGTTCTAGAAAGAAACAGTTCCCAATTTATTTCATGGACAAAAGGTCACCTGACAAACAGTATGTACCCCATCTTTTCCTGGTGAGCTATCATGTAGTTGCATTCTGAACATAACATGTTATGTTATACTCAGCTTCCCAACTCATATTTTCCCAAGGAAAGAAAAGTAGAAAAGAAATAAAGATTAGATTATGATTAGGTTCTCTGTTTAATTTTGACCAGGCTGAACTTAGTACCCAGGTATGGATTATTTTCCTGGCAGATCTTTATTATATTGTTTGGCAATTTCTTGTGATCTGAAAATCAAACAACTGAATCACAGGCTCTCCTAGAGGGCCCCGGACGTCATCTAGCCTACACCTCTGGATCCTATAAACACCGCTGAAAATATCTCCAATGTGTAGTGGTCCAGCCTCTTCTTGGACACCCAGTGAGAATGTACCATTTTCATAAACTCTAATCTACTCTTCAGATAACTAATTATTAGATTTCTACCCCTTTTAACAAAAATCTTTATTTCTGTAATTTCTATATGCCTGGTCCTATTTTTGTCCTCTGTAATGCCTGAACATATCCATCCTTGCCTTCACATGGCGGCACTGAAAACACTCTAAAGCTTTAAACAACACTTCTCCCTTGCCTATTCCTCTTCTGCCCCAATGCTCCCTTGCCTATTCCTCTTCTGCCCCAATGTTCTATTTTTTCAAGTATTCTCACCATCAAAATTTCCATAAAATTTTCCATATACTTAACAGTTCTAGTTCTCCTCCTGTGGATGAAATCCAAAATATGCTAATGTTCACCATGTTCTATCACCACCAGTAAGAGCAATGTGAATTATAACAACAGGGGAGTGTTCCTCTCCAGATAGAGCTGCCAAGAGCTGGAAGCTACAGTCTTATAAAACTACACCGTAATGACTAAGAAGGTGGTTTCAGGACAGGCTTGGAAGTGTTAGCTTGGAACAGATGGATCTGGACAGTACGACCCTACTCGAGGCAGACATGCCACACTACATCATTAAGATTCAAAAAGTCTCTTTTCAAGGAAAACAGAATGAAACAAAGTGTATTTCTTACTTTCTACGAAACATTTCTGCAAATATGCAGCCAACACTCCAGAGATCCACAGGGGTGGCATAGCTGGACTGGAGCAAGACTTCTGGAGCTCTGTACCACAGCGTGACGACCTGCAATGGCAAACAGATCGGAGTGTTACTGAGGACCAGGGCTGGGCTGTCGGCTTCAATTCCTCACCCTAGGTGGTTTAATGACAAGATCCAGTTAGCAGTAGAAGTCTGAAACTAGACACACACCTCTAACCATTGACAAAAGATTTAAATTTAAGACACGAGACAGTACAAATTCTAGAAGAGAGTGTGGGGAGAACACCTGAAGATACTGGGTTGGGAAAAAACTTTATGAGGAAGACCCTGCCCCCCACCACCAGCAATTACAGCAACACCAAAAATAAATAATTGGGACTTGATCAAGCTAAAAATCTTTTGCACAGCTGAGAATACCACAAACAAAGCAAACAGGCAGCCCTCAGAATGGGAGATTTTTGCATGTTGTGAATCTGACAAAGGCCTGCTAACTAGAATTTATAGAGAACTCAAATTAAACAATAAGAAAAGTGCAAACAATCCTTTCTATAAGCGGGCAAGTGATTTGAACAGAAACTTCTCTGAAGATGACAGACGAATGGCCAACAAACACATGAGAAAATGCTCATTGCCTTTAATCATCAGAGAAATGCAAATCAAAACTGCTTAAGATATCACCTGACCCCAGCGAGCTTAGCCCATATCACATCTGGTGTCCTAAAATACCAAAAGCCAGCATGGACATGGAGAGAAGGCAACACTTCTATACTGCTGGTGGAAAGCAAACTAATACAGCCCTTTTGGAGAGATGTATGGAGAACCCTCAAAGATCTAAATTATGTACACCTTCCATTTGACCCTGCAATCCTATTGCTAGGTATCTACCCAGAAGAACATAAATCATTTTACCACACAGACATCTGCACTCAAATGTTTATTGCAGCTCAATTCATAATAGCCAAGTTGTGGAAGCAAATTAAGTGGCCATCAACCCATGAATGGATCAACAAACTGTGGCATATGTATACCACAGAATATTACGCAGCCATTAAAAGGGTGGAGACTTTACATCTTTTACATTTACCTGGATGGAGTTGAAATACATTCTTCTTAGTAGAGTATTACAAAAATGGAAAGATGAATATCCAATGGGCTCCATACTAATATGAAATCAATATATGAACAATTAAATGTTCCTAAGAACAATAAAACACTATTATAGTCCAGTTTGGGGTAAAGGGAAGTGGGAGGCAGAGAGGGGAGGACATATGGCAGACGGAGGGAGGGCAAGAGGCGGGATCTCACCTAATGTGCACATTGTGAGGGTGTATAACACGCCCCCTGGGTGAGGGGCTCTTCTACAAATGGAACTTTACCCTGGAAATGAGAACAATGTAACCTAAATATTGTACGCTCATATTAATTTGAATAAAGTTTTTTTAAAAAAAGGGCCAGTTCCCAAAGAACTCCATAAATCACTGGGTACACTGTGATAGAAGCAATAAGTAAATAGGATTCATCACTGAAAGGCCAGGAAATTATGTCATCCCTATAAACTGAGTTCCCACCTTAAACTATATCTTACTAGGATGGTAAAATATACATGAGTTTCAGAAAGCAAAGCAAAGACAAAAAAAAAAAAAAAAGAAATCTTAAAATGGTTTTTCCTCTTAAGGGACTTAAAAAAATAATACATGGAAAACAGGTGACAGCAAAAATTTCAGCCCAGCTCACAAAGTCAGCATTATTGGGAAGTGAGAAGATGATGCCAGAGCTGCTGATCAGTGACCCTGAAGTCTGCAGTGCACCCAGGACAAGTGGAAAATTGTTCTCGACACTTTGAGGAATCAAAATAAAACCCCTCCCCATGCCGCTCTTTCCAGAAAACAAATAAGAAATGGAGAAGAACTTAAAAGACAATGTGTAATCCAACTGTTCACATATGTATAAAAATCATCCAGAGGAAGAGATTCCAAAAACAGGAGAACCATACTTAATATAGAGCTGTGTATAATAATAGATGAAACAAATACAACTTTAATAACTTCTGCCAGGTTGATGGTTGAGGAAAGCAAGTTATTTTAAGGCTTTTGGTTTATTAGTGCATAGGGGTGCAAGTGATTTCCATGAAAACTTGAAATGCAGGTGTATTCTTCATTGTTAAATAAGGAATTCGACATACAAATCTATTACATAGGCACTTTATAGTACTCAGATTCTTTTTATTCTTATTGTTTTGTCTAACTGCATTACTATTGATGCCTATCCAAATTTCCTGAAATTCTGCATTTTGTCTTAAGATTGTGCCTGGAAGGACTGTCTTGTTTTTAGTTTTAAATTATTCTCTTTTCTTAAAATTCAGATTGATAAGAGAGCACAAATGTTCATGTTTCTAAGGTGAAGTTCAAGTTGTAGTTGAGGCAGTTGAGCCCCATATCCAGGAAGTGAGCTGTGCACCCTTACAATGTGTCCATCAGGAGAGAGCTTACAAATACCCCTCCCTCCTTTTTTTCTTTCTTTCCCTCTCCCCACTTGAATATACACTTGTTAATCTCTCGTAAGGTCATGTTTTCCTATTAGATTCATATGAGTATTGAGTACACTGGATATTTGCATTTCCACTCTTGTGATACTTTACTAAGAAGAATGAGTTTCAATTCAATCCAGGTAAATACAAAAGACGTAAAGGCTCCATCTTTTTTATAGCTGCATAGTATTCCACAGTATACACATACCGCAGTTTATTAATCCCTTCATGGGTTGATGGGCACTTGGGCTGTTTCCATGTCTTCGCAATTATAAATTGAGCTGCAATAAACATTCTAATGTAAATGTTTTTGTGATAAAATGATTTATTTTCTTTTGGGTAGATTTCCATTAATGGAACTGCAGGATCAAATGCAATGTCTACATTTAGCTCTTTGAGGATTCTCCATACTTCCCTATATGGAAATAAAGCCTGTATTAGTTTGTAATCCCACTAACAGTGTAAAAGTTTTCCCATCTCTCCTGTACTCCAGCTTGGGCAACAATGTGAGACCCTGTTTCTTAATAAAACAAACAAATAAAAAACCCCAACTAAAACAAAACAAAAGACAAACTCCAAACCAACAATACTGCAACAATGTTACAGTAGTATTGGAGTACAGTAGTGGAGTATTTGACTCCAGTGTATCTTTCCAGCATCCTCTTCCATAGTTTTTCCCTATCTATAAAGCTGGTTCTCCTGGGGCTTTTAGAAAAATTTAGGTTTAATTAGATTCTCTGTGGCTTGGGCCCTTGGAGCTGCTTGCCCCTCTTCCTGTCTGTCTCTCTCTTCTCTTTTAAAAAAAGTTATTCAGGTAACCCTCACACTTGGCCAGCTTTGGGCACAGATGGATTATACAAACATATACAGCTGCCCTGACTCCACCCTTTTGTTTACATCATTCTACTATACCAGGAAACTCTTTTTTCCCCTCTCCACAGGAAGAAATTGCTATCATCCTAGGAGGCCCAGCATGGATTCCATCACCTCCCTGAACCCCCTGCTAACCTGAAAGTCAGACTTTGTAACATAGCTCATAATGTAGTTTATTCCTTAGGGCGTGACCCTGACTTCATCTATGGTTATAATAATATATGGAAATTCCTATTGTAACAACATACACATAACAGTAAGGTTTCATAAATGTCCAGTTAGTGGTTTTAAGTTAATCATGGCTAGAAAGATAACCGTGCAAAATTCTATGACCAGTCATTCCCCTCCAAATAGGTACTATTTTTGCTAAAGAGAGTGTCCAATTCCAGCCTCTAGTTTTTAGTTACATGATTTATTTCTGCTTTATTAATATTTCCAGATGGATGAAAACTTCTCTTTGCTTCTCTAACACACTGTAAACAACAAAAGTGCAGGTGCAAACTGTCCATTTGAAGTTCCCCTCGGATGATCTATAGACATATACAGATATTGTGAGAACACATGTTTATCTTTTCACCTCACTTCAAAATATAGTCTAGCATCAGATGAGATGAAAAGTTTAATCTCATTACAGCCTTATTCACGCTGTTCTAAGGAAACTGTGGTTTGATTGGTTACCCACCTTAAAAAAACCTTTAATAGGGTTAACTATCTTCATTTTCAATACTTTACTCAGTAATACCTATTGAGATTATCAAAGACATGTTTAGACAGTCAAAATAATAATAACAATAGTGGTATGTTTAGGAAGTTCCCTTCTGTTCTCTTTAAAATTTTGTAACCTGAATTTTTTGGGGGGTGGGGGGAGACAGAGTCTCAAGCTGTTACCCTGGGTAGAGTGCCGTGGGGCACAGCTCAGAGCAACCTCAAAAACTCTTGGGCTTAAGAGATTCTCTTGCCTCTGCCGCAGTAGCTGGGACTACAGGCACCTGCCACAACACCTGCTACTTTTTTTGGTTGTAGTTGTCATTGTCATTTGGCAGGCCCGGGCAGGATTCGAACCTGCCAGCTCCATGTATGTGGCTGGTGCCTTAGCTGCTTGAGCTACAGGCATCGAGCCTGTAACCTGAATTTTTATCAAATGCTCTTTAAAATGTGATCATTCTTCTTTATCAATGTTATATTAATTATATTAATTTATTTCCTAACATTGCATCATCCTTGTTTTCCTGAAATAAATCATTACTAATAATTGCATATCATTCTTTTCTACATTAACTAAACATACACACACACTTTTTAGAGACAGGGCCTTATTCTGTTGTCTAGGCTGGAGTGCAGTGCCTCAATAATAGCACTGCAGCCTCAAACACCTGGGCTCAAGTGATCCTCCTGCCTCAGCCTCCGGTAGCTAGTATTGCAGGCTCAAGCCACCACACCTGGCTAATTTACTTTATTTTTGTAGAGATGGCATCCTGGTATGTTGCCCAGGCTTCAACTGTATTATTCTTTTAAGACACACAGAGATTGGATTAGTTAATATTTATTTAGGATATTAACTTATATTCATAAACAAGACTGATTAACAGTTTTCTTTGATGTGTTCATTTTTCATGTTTTGTTATCAGGAACAGACAAGGCTTGCATTCTTTACTGTATTCTGGAATAGTACAAACAACGTAAG